GCGCGATCCCTGCGGGAAGTGCGCCGACGTGGGCGTGGGGGCGCTGCGCCAAGTCCGTCTTTAGGGCCGCAAGAGAAGCTTCCTGAGCGGCGCGATCCGCGGGGCAATCTACGCCCTCCGGTTCCGAACACTTCGTAGACTACAACTAGAGCATGTTAGAACCTAAGCGCGCGCGAAGCGCGCGTGGTTCTAGTGGCAGTCTAATCGTTTACGCATAATGGGGCTATCTGGCGTGCTTATGAGTAGTTCTTATGTTGAGTTCTCATGCTAGGCGCTGGGCCGGAGGCACTCATAATCGCCAGGCCGTTGTTCACGAGCGCCGGCTGCATTGGCACAGTGGTGGGTCTCGTGGGCAGCGTCCTCATTGGAGACCGCAGCACCAACCGCGACGGAGCGCGGAGCGGAGATTTCACCAGACTCTGTGCCTTGTTTTCCCGCAGCAATTTCAGCAGCCCTTGCTTTCGGTGGCCTCGCTCCCCGGAGCAAGAATTGCCACGGAGATTTCACTTCCCTACTCGCTGCTGCGATTCCGCGATGTTCCGCCCGTCGTGCCTTCGGATGCGCGCAGCGGCGGCGGCTGCCCCTGGCTTGGCGACCTTCCACATCAGGGGTGATGGGCAGCGCGCGCCTGTGCATTGCACCGGTGATGCGCCTCAGTTTCGGTCTGAGATGCGCGCGTCTTGGGGCGCAGTCGACGACCATTTCCAGATCCGAGACATATTCGGCAGCGCTGCTGCCGATGCCATCATGCGACATGCAGCGCGCGCTTTCCATCGCGAGTTCCCATTCGGCGTGTCGCTCATGGCCCAGCTGATGGCGTGCTGCAGCGGCGCTCGCACGCAAAGCTTCCCTGGCTCATTGAGCCCGCTCGCGCTGCCGATCTTCAACATGAGCTACCCCCAGACGCGCAAGAGCTCCGGCTTCAGCACGGGCAACAAGGTCGCCAGCGCCATGGATGAGGCTGCGTTGGAGGAGGCAAAACGGATGGTTGGGAATGCCCTTGACGCGGCGATCCCTGACATCCCTCCCGTTCGCGTCAACTCGAACACTCTCACCACCTTCGCCGAGGCTGTGTTTTTCCAGCGGCGCGGCGGGGATTGGGACAAAATTGTGGCTAACCCTTCGTACGACGCCCCGGGCCGATGCCAAATGCCCCGGGACGACGCCCCGGGCCGATGCAAGTAAAGGCCTCCGTGCCCGCGAGCATTCGCCCTCCTGCTTTTCTTGCGTTTGGGGGAAATGAGTAGATGGGAATATATGTAGATGTGGCGCGCCGCGGGGCCTGCCAGCAAAGCGTTGCGCGGCCCGCTTCGATTTGCCCTCCCAGCCTCCGCGTTTAACAGTTTGTCGGTGAAGGCCGCGCGCTGGCTCGGGCGGCGCGGCGCTCGCCATTCGTTCCGCTGCCGCGCGACGCGGCGAAGCACTGCTGCGATGATGCGCTGTCATACTATTGCGGTAATGAAAAAATGCTCGATTGCGCGCCCCATTCTAATGTCCCGCCCGCTCGCCCCCACCCGCGCGTTGGTCCGCCCCGCCCGGCCAGCTCGTTGGTGCCCCGCCAGCCAGAAACCACCCGTCCACCCAAGTTCTCCTCGTATTCCATGAGGCCCCACACTTCAATGCCCTGCCTGGCCGACCCCGCCCGCCAAGTCCACCAGTAGCCCTTATCGACCTACTGTTCGGGAGCCCCTGGAGCATCCGCGGCCCTGCAAAAATAAACCTTGGAAAGGGATTGTTGTGCTGCTGCTGGCAGAAAACCGAGGGGGTGTCACCCTTCAAAAAAACTAAAAAAAGAGAAAAGCGCCCACCCCCCCCGGAAAACCGGGGGGGTCACGACCCCCCCCCCCTTTTTCGCCGCCGGCCAAGGACTCCCTCCCCCCTCCCGCTTCCCTCCTCCCTCCCTTCCCTCCCTCCTCCCCCCCCTCGTTCACCCTCCCCCCCCCTCCCCCCTGCGATGACGACGACGACGACGGCGACGACGACGCCGCGACGACGACGACGACGACGACGACGACGACGACGACGACGACGACGACGACGACGACGACGGCGGCGGCGGCGGCGGCGGCGGCGGCCGATGCGGCGACGGCGACGACGACGGCGCGGCGCACGGCGAACCACGACGACCACGTCGACGACGCAAGGCTTCATGTAAGGTCCCGCCCGCCCACCCGACTGAATTCCCCATTCCTGAGTGAATGTTGCATTTCATGTCCCGCCCGCCCGACGGCTCCACCATATTTTCTCCCAACCTTGTCCCATGTCAGAGTGAAGGTTACATGTAATGTCCCGCCCGCCCGACCGAACGCCCCATCCCTGAGTGAAGGTTGCATTTAATGTCCCGCCCGCCCGACCGAACGCCCCATCCCTGGTGAAGGTTTCATGTATAATGTCCCGCTCGCCGGACCCGCGTTTTCGGTGGTTGTAACACTATTTCATTTTGCCTTGGCGCGTCACACGGTGAAGGTTACATCTAATGTCCCGCCCGGCCCGACCGGCCGCCCCATCCCTCAGTGAAGGTTTCGTTTAATGTCCCGCCCGCCCGACAGGCGTCTTCGGCGGTGGCGAGATATCCTGCCCCAGCCTTATCTGTTACAGAGCCGATGTTAGATGTTATGTCCCGCCCGCCCGACTGAATGCCCAATCCCTGGGTGAAGGTTTCATGTAATGTCCCGCCCGCTTGACCAGCGTCTCCGGCGGATGCGATATATGTTCATCAAGCCGTGTCCAATCACATGGTGAAACTTACGTTCAATGTCCCGCCCGCCCGCCCGACTGATCTCCCCAAAATGCCATTTCTGAGTGGCGGTTGCATTTCATATCCCGCACGCCCGACCCGCGTTGTCGGCGGTTGTAACATCGCTTCCTCCTACCTTGGCCCATCATGAAGGCTACATAATGCCCCGCCCGCCCGACTGGACGCCCCATCCCTGAGTGAAGGTTTCGTTTAATGTCCCGCCCGCCCGACCGGCGTCTTCGGTGGTTGCGAGATATGTTCCTAGAGTTTTGTCCCATGACAGAGGGAAGGCTACATTGGATGTCCCGCCCGCCCGCCCGACTGAACTCCCCATTGCTGAGTGGCGGTTGTATTTCATGTACCGTCCGCCCGAACCGCGCATGCGGCGGTTGTAAAATAGTTTGCCCGTACCTTGGCCCATCACATATTGAAACTTACATTCAATGTCCCGCCAGCCCCACTGAACGCCCCTTCCCTGAGTGAAGGTTTACGGCCTTACGGCCGGTGCCGCCGACCCTGAACGACGACGACGACGACCCAAGCCCTGGGACCGCCAAGAGACGGCTTGACGACCCAAGCCCCTGAGGCAGCAGGGAGGAGTAGGAGGCGGAGGAGGACGAGGAGAGGAGGAGGAGGAGGAGGAGGAGGAGGAGGAGGGGAGGAGGAGGAGGAGGGAGGAGGAGGAGGAGGAGGAGGAGGAGGAGGAGGAGGAGGAGGGGAGGAGGAGGAGGGGGAGGAGGAGGAGGAGGAGGAGGATTAGGAGTAGGAGGAGGAAGAGGAGGAGGAGGAGGAGGAGGAGGAGGAGGAGGAGGAGGAGGTGGAGGAGGAGGAGGAGGAGGAGGAGGAAGAGAAGGAGGAGAGCAGGAGGAGGAGGGAGGAGGGGAGGGAGGAGGAGGAGGAGGAGGAAGAACAATTGGAGGAGGAGATCCCGGACACCCCGGACACCCCGGACACCCCGGACAACCCGGACACCTTGGACACCCCGGACACCCCGGACACGCCGGACACCCCGGACATCCCGGACACCCCAGACACCCCGGACACCCCGGACACCCTGGACACCCCGGACACCCCGGACACCCCGGACACCCCGGACACCCCGGACACTCCGGACACGTACGCGGACACCCCGGACACGCCGGACACCCGGACACCCCGGACACCCCGGACACCCCGAACACCCCGGACACCCCGGACACCCCGGACACGCCGGACTCCCTGGACACCCCGGACACCCCGGACACCCCGGACACGTCCCCCGGACACCCCGGACGTCCCGGACACCGGACCCACAGAGGACTATAGTCGATCTTTGGGGGCTCTTGGCCCGTTTCGGGCCGTCGGAAGGCCGAAAGAAGCAAATGTCAAAATCCTTCAAAAACCTTCGGAAAATCAATGTTTTGATACCCTTTCTGGCCTTCCTGGAGGCCATCGTGCACGCCTCTTGGGCCGTCTTGGGCCAGCTTCGAGCCAACTTCGGCCATCTTCGTGGGTTCCTGGCCCGTCTGACGCCGTCGGGAGCCGTCTTGGGGGCCTCTCTGAACCGGCTTGGGGCCCTCTTCGGGCGCTTCGGGGCCGTCTTGGAGGATCTTGGGCGTCTTGGAGGCCTCTTGGCCCGTCTTGGGGCCCTCTTGGGGCCGTCTCGGGGGCCTCTTGGATGGGGCCATCTTCTTGGGGCTCCGATCTTGGGGGCTTGGGCCGTCTTGGACAGCGGGAAGGCTTAAAGAAACATGTGTCAAAATCATTCAAGAACCAATGGGATTTGGCCTCTTCGGGCTCTCCTGGGGGGGCACCCTCTTGGGCCATCTTGAGGCCATCTTGGAGCCATCTTGGCCCGTTTTGAGGCTTCTTGGACGATTTAGAAGGCATCTTGGATCCTCTTGGGCCGTCTTGGAGGCCATTTTGGACCATCTTGGGCCAACTTGGAGGCCATCTTGGCCGTCTTGGAGGCCATCTTGGGCCAACTTGGGGCAGCAAAGGCATCGACGGATGCGTTTTGAGATCCTTCCTGGGACCCCGGCGGGACGCGCCGGAGCCCCAGGGGGAGTTCTTTTGGAGAAGAACCCAAACCAACACCGAAATCATCTGAATCGACAGGGGGTGACGGATGCAGGTGCCTGTGGCACGTGCCGCCACCGTGTTATGGGCCAGGAGGTCCGGGAGGGGGCGGCGGTCCGCGCAAAGAGGTGCTACCAAGGGAAGGGGGGGCTCTGGAAGCTCGGCATTCTCACACGCCAAGCATCGTGCAGGAACGGTGCAGATTTTTCTGTTGGCAGCAACGGCCGACACTGGCCACGCGAGCTGACACCGTCGATCAGCGCAAACGTGTGTTTAATTCGGACCGTTCTAATCTGGATGCAACGAGCGCTCGATAAAACGCTTTCGCCTAGCAGCTGCGTCGTCGCGATCCTCATCGAGTTTCCTCATCTCTTCTGGACTCTGAGGGCGATCTGGCTTTCCTGCTCGCAGGCCCTCGGGATCGGCAGCGGCCCTGTCAGGCGCGGGAGTCTAGGGAGCTGGGAGCGCCACGAGGGCGTCCACGGGGAGGGGCGGAGATGCGGAGTGCTGCTCCGATCTGGTTTCGCTCCGTAGCCGTAGCCGTTTCGACTCGAGTCGTTTTTTTGTTGGCAGTCCTGCCACGATTTTGCGCAGCCTCGTCAGAGTCCCCCGTCGTCGGTGGCGCCATGGCGCTGTGCGACTCCGTGTCCTGCTTCGTGGGCGTCCCCGCCGCCCCGGCCCAGCGCCCTTCGCCAGCCCTCCGCGCCTCCCTCTCCGAGCCGCGCGTCGAGAGCGGCGCGAGCTCGGGCTTCAACGCCGCCGCCGCGTGCTCGCTCGTGGCGGCTGGCGTCGTGGGCGCGGCCGCGAGCCGCCGTCGCTCCTCCGCCAAGGTGGCCAGGCAGGCGGTCGGTGTCGGCATCAACGGCTTCGGGCGCATCGGGCGCCAGGTGGCGCGCATCGTCATGAAGGACCCGGAGACGGAGCTGAAGCTCGTGAACGCGAGCTACGACGCCGAGTACCTGGCCTATCCAGCTGCCTGCGGCGCGTCCGCTACCGTGCCGGCGAAGCACTCGGCGTGACGATCCTTCGATCGTCGCCCAGAAGGCCGTCGCTCGTGACACCTCTCGTATGGACTTCTTCAGGAGCTCTCAGGGGGGGGCTTATTTGGGCCGTCTGGGGGCCGTCTTGGGCACCCGTGGGGCAGTCTTGCACGGCCCCTCAAGGCCTTCTTTGGCCGCCTCGGGGCCCTCTTGGGCCGTCGTGGGGCCCTCTGGGGCTGCTTTTGTTGGCCCTCTTGGCCGTCTGGACGGTCTCTTGGAGCGGTCGTGGGGCCGTCTTGGAGCCCTCTTCGGCCCTCTTGAGTCCATCTGGAGTCCCTCTTGGGCCAGCATGGGGCTCTTTGGGGCCCCGGGGGCCGTCCTGGGCCGTTGGTCTCGCAGTGGGCACTTCTGAGACGATCTTCGACCGAAGAGCGAGGCTTTGCATCGCCAGGGAGGCATCCGGCCGCCCAGGAAGTCTCGGGAGGAGGGGCCGGTGCATGAGGACTGCGCTGGGAGAGGGGGAGAGGGCCCTTAGAAGATTTCCAGAAACCCTCGGCTACCAGATTGCACTTGGCATTCTACCACGCCTCATCTCGTCTCCACCTTTGAGAGAGCCGTAACATGTGAGACGCTCTTCCGCGTCGCTTCAGGGTGTCTCGCCTCGTGTTCGTCGTCGTCCTTCTCTCTTCCCCTTCTTCCCTCCTTTCTTGAGTCCTCTTGGGGGCCTCTTGGGGGCTTCCTGGGGGCCACTCGGTGCCTCTTGGAGGCTGCTTGTGACTCCCAACTTACGACGTCTTAGGGCGCTCTTGGGCAGTCTGGCCTCTTTGGAATCCGTCTTGCGGGCCACTCTGGGCAGTCTTGAGGTCCTCTTTGGGCCTCGAAGGGTCGTCGTGGGGGTCTTGGGCCGTCTTGGGGCCTCTTTGGGCCACCTTGGGGTCGTCTTGGAGGCCTCATGGGCCATCCTGAGTCTGAGAGTCTTCTTGGAGGCCTCTTGGGCGGTCTTGGGCCGATGGACGCCTGAAAAGGCGAGAACGCGAAAGTCATACAAAAACATTCGGAACGTCATTCGGTTTGACTTTTTCGGGTCCTTGTAGGGCGTAGGAGCTCTCATGTGCCGTATGGGGGCCTCTCGGGCCAGCTTAAGGCCATCTTGGGCCATTTGGGATGCATTTTGTGTCATTTTGGTGGCCTTGGGGTCTTGCCTGGGTCGTCTTGGAAGCCATGTCGGGCCTTCTGCAGACCTTGGGCAACCCCAGGGAGGCGTCGGGGCCGCCTATGGAGCCTGGGGAGAGGGCGGTGGTGCAAGCGACTGGGCGTGACCTGGAGGGGGGGTCCCTTCGAAGACTGACAGAAGCCCTACCGGACAGCCCTTGGCGTTCTGCCACGCCTCAACGTGCCAGGGGGCGCGGTGGCGGACCAGATGAAGTACGACTCGATCCACGGCAGGTACGACGGCACCATCGAGGTCGACGGGGACTCCTTGGTGATTGATGGCCACAAGGTGGCCCTGTCGCACACCCGCGACCCGGCCGAGATCCCCTTCAAGGAGCACGGGGCGGAGTACGTCTGCGAGTCCACCGGCGTGTTCCTGACCGACGAGAAGATCCAGCCGCACCTCAAGGCGGGCGCGAAGAAGGTTGTGTTCTCGGCCCCGGCCAAGGACGACAGCCACACCATCGTGATGGGCGTGAACCAGGACACCTACAAGAGTGACATGAGTTGCGTCTCGTGCGCATCGTGCACCACCAACGGCCTCGCCCCCATGGTGAAGGCCATCAACGACGCGTTCGGCATCAAGCGGGGCCTGATGACCACTATCCACGCCATGACCGCGTCTCAGCCAACCGTGGACGGGGCGTCGAAGAAGGACTGGCGTGGTGGCCGTGCGGCATCTGGCAACATCATCCCCTCCTCCACCGGGGCGGCCAAGGCGGTGGCCAAGGTCGTGCCGGAGGTGGCGGGCAAGCTCACGGGCATGGCCTTCCGCGTGCCCACGATCGACGTGTCGGTCGTGGACCTCACTTGCGAGCTGGAGAAGGCGACGACCTACGAAGAGATCTGCGCCGAGATCAAGCGGCGCTCCGAGGGCGACATGAAGGGATTCTTGGGCTACTGCGACGAGGCCCTCGTGTCTACGGACTTCGAGACGTGCCCCATCTCCAGCACCTTCGATGCCAAGGCGGGCATCATGCTGGACTCCACGTTCGTGAAGCTCGTGGCCTGGTACGACAACGAGTGGGGCTACTCGTGCCGTGTTGTTGACCTGATCAAGCACATGGCCAAGGTCGACGGAGCATAAGGTAAGCAAGTGTGGGCCCCCCCGCCACTGTGCACTCTTTCTCTCCCCGACCGATTTTATCGAAGACGCCTACGGTGAATCACCGCCGCCCCCTGCCTTTTTGGAAGCGCCTATGTGGCCGAACGTTGAGGCCAGATCTGCTAAGCTATCGGACCATGTTTTCCCCGAATCGGTTTGGAAAGCCTTCGGGGAACACGTGGGCATCTTGAAGGTCATCTTGGCCGTCTGGAGGCCATTTTGACCCTTTCGGGCCTTCTTGGAGGACGTCTTGGAGGTCTCTTGGGCCGTCTTGGAGGCTATATTGAGCGTCTTGGAGGCCTCTTGGGGCCGTCTTGGGCCGTCTTGGGCATCTTAGGGCCATCTTCGGCCGTTTTGGTGGGCTCGTGGCCCGTCTGACGCCGTCGGAAGCCGTTTTGGGGGCCTCTCTGGGCCGACTTGGGGCCCTCATGGAATGCTCCAGCTCCGTCTTGGAGGCATCTTGGGCGTCTTAAGGCCTCCTGGCCCGTCTTGGGGGCCTCTTGGGGCCGTCTTGGGGGCCTCTTGGCCTGTTCTGGGGCCATCGTGGAGGCCTCTTGGGCGATCTTTGGGCGATCTTTGGGGGCTCTTGGCCCGTCTCGGGCCGTCGGAAGGCCTAAGTGAAGCATATGTCAAAATCCTTCAAACACCTTAGGAACATGTTTTTTTTTGTTTATGCATTTTCTGGCCTTCCTGGAGGCTCTCTTGGAGGCCTCTTGGGCCGTCTTGGGCCAGCTTCGAGCCAACTTCAGCCATTTTGCTGGGTTCCTGGCCCGTCTGACGCCGTCGGGAGCCGTCTTGGGAGCCTCTCTGAACCGGCTTGGGGCCCTCTTCGGGCGCTTCGGGGCCGTCTTGGAGGCCATCTTTGGCGTCTTGGAGGCCTCTTGGCCCGTCTTGGGGCCCTCTTGGGGCCGTCTTGGGGGCCTCTTGGGCCGTCATGGGGCCATCTTGGAGGCCTCGTGGGTGCTCTGGGGGCGATCTTGGGGGCCTCTTGGGCCGTCTTGGACAGCGGGAAGGTTTAAAAGAAGCATATGTCAAAATCATTCAAGAACCAATGGAAAGTCAATGATTTTGGCCTCTTCGGGCTCTCCTGGGGGACCTCTTGGCACCCTCTTTGGCCATCTCGAGGCCATCTTGGAGCCATCTTGGTCCGTTTTGAGGCTTCTTGGACGATTTGGAAGGCACCTTGGGCCCTCTTGGGCCGTCTTGGAGGCCATCTTGGAGGCCATCTTGGCCGTCTTGGAGGCCATCTTGGGCCAACTTGGGGCAACAACGGCATCGACGGATGCGTTTTGAGATCCTTCCCGGGACCCCGGCGAGACGCGCCGGAGCCTCAGGGGGATTTCTTTGGGAAAAGAACCCAAACCAACACCGAAATCATCTAGCACGCCAGGCACCTCTGCGATGAATCGACAGGGGACGGCGGATCGAAGACGCCTACGGCGAGTCACCGCCGCCCCCTGCCTTTTCGGAAGCGCCTATGTGGCCGAACGTCGAGGCCAGACCTGCCAAGCTCTCGGACCATGTGTTCCCCGAATCGGTTTGGAAAGCCTTCGGGGAACACGTGGGCATCTTGAAGGTCATCTTGGCCGTCTGGAGGCCATTTTGACCCTTTCGGGCCTTCTTGGAGGACGTCTTGGAGGGCTCTTGGGCCGTCTTGGAGGCCATATTGAGCATCTTGGAGGCCTCTTGGGCCGTCTTGAGTGCCTCTTGGAACTATCTTGGGCCTCTTGGGCGATCTTTGGGGGCACTTGGGCCATCTCGGGCCGTCGGAAGGCCGAACAAAAAGCAAATGCCACAATCCTTCAAAAACTCATGGGAAATCAATGATTTTGGCCTTTTCGGCCCTTCCTGGAGGCCCTCTTGGAGGCCTCTTGGGCCGTCTTGGGCCATCTTAGGGCTATCTTCGGCCCGTCTGACGCCGTCGGAAGCCGTTTGGGGGGCCCTGTCTGGGCCGACTTGGGGCCCTCTTGGGGTGCTCCAGGGCCGTCTTGGAGGCCATCTTTGGGCGTCTTAAGAGCCTCTTGGGCCCGTCTTGGGGGCCTCTTGGGGCCATCTTGGAGGCCTCTTGGGCGATCTTTTGGCGCTCTTTGGGGGCTCTTGGGCCGTATCGGGCCTTCGAATGGCCGAAAAGATGCAAATGTCAAAATCTTTCAAGCACGTAAGTCAAATAATGTTTTTAACCTTTTCTGGCCTTCCTGGAGGCCCTCTTGGAGGCCTCTTGGGCCGTCTTGGGCCAGCTTCGAGCAACTTCGGCCATCTTGGTGGGCTCGTGGCCCGTCTGACGCCGTCGGAAGCCGTTTGGGGGGCCCTGTCTGGGCCGACTTGGGGCCCTCTTGGGGTGCTCCAGGGCCGTCTTGGAGGCCATCTTGGGCGTCTTAAGAGCCTCCTGGCCCGTCTTGGGGGCCTCTTGGGGCCATCTTGGAGGCCTCTTGGGCGATCTTTTGGCGCTCTTTGGGGGCTCTTGGGCCGTATCGGGCCTTCGGATGGCCGAAAAGATGCAAATGTCAAAATCTTTCAAGCACGTAAGTCAAATAATGTTTTTAACCTTTTCTGGCCTTCCTGGAGGCCCTCTTGGAGGCCTCTTGGGCCGTCTTGGGCCAGCTTCGAGCCAACTTCGGCCATCTTGGTGGGCTCGTGGCCCGTCTGACGCCGTCGGAAGCCGTTTGGGGGGCCCTGTCTGGGCCGACTTGGGGCCCTCTTGGGGTGCTCCAGGGCCGTCTTCGAGGCCATCTTGGGCGTCTTGGAGGCTTCTGGGGTCGTCTTTGTGCCCTCTTGGGGCCGTCTTGGGGGCCTCTTGGGCAGTCCTGAGGCCATCTTGGAGGCCTCTTGGGCGCTGTGGGGGCGATCTTGGGGGCCTCTTGGGCCGTCTTGGGTCGTCGGAAAGCCGAGGACAATTAATGATTTTGGCCTCTTCGGGTCCTCCTGGAGGAGCTCTTGGAGCGTCTGGGAGGCCTCTTGGGGGCCTCTTGGGCCGTCTGAGGCCATCTCGAGGCTATCTTAGGCCGTCTTGGGTGTATCTTGGGCCGTTTTGGAGGCATATTGGGGTTATTTTAGTTGTCTTGGAAGCCATCTTGGGCCATCTTGTGGCCGTCTGGGGCAGGCAAACCGTTTGCAACCTGGTCTTCCGGGTGGCCGGCGGGACGCGCCAGAGCCCCAGGGGGAGTTCTTTTGGAAAAAGCACCAAAACCAAAAGCCATACCGTTCGGCACGCCAGGCACCCCTGTGGTGAATCGACAGGGGGCGGCGGATTCAGGTGCCTGTGGCACGTTCCGCCACCGTGCCACGGGCCAGGAGGCCCGGGAGGGGGCGGCGGTCCACGCAAAGAGGTGCTACCAAGAGGAGGGGGGGCTCTGGAAGCTCGGCATTCTCACACGCCAAGCATCGTGCCGGATCGGTGGCAGATTTTTCTGTTGGCAGCAACGGCCGACACTGGCCACGCGAGCCGACACTGTCGATCAGCGCAACGTGTGTTCATTCGGATCGTTCTAATCTGGATGCAACGAGCGCTCGATAAAGCGCTCTCGCCTAGCAGCTGCGTCGTCGCGATCCTCATCGAGTTTCCTCATCACTTCTGGACTCTGAGAGCGATCTGGCCTTCCTGCTCGCAGGCCCTCGGGATCGGCAGCGGCCCTGTCAGGGGCGGGCGTCCGGGGAGCTGGGAGCGCCACGAGGGTGTCAACGGGGAGGGGCGGAGATGGGGAGTGCTGCTCCGATCTGGCTTCGCTCCGTAGCCGTTTCGACTCGAGTCGTTTTTGTGGCCAGTCCTGCCACGATTTTGCGCAGCCTCGTCAGAGCCCCTTTGTCGGTGGCGCCATGGCGCTGTGCGACTCCGTGTCCTGCTTCGTGGGCGTCCCCGCCGCCCCAGCCCAGCGCCCTTCGCCGGCCCTCCGCGCCTCCCTCTCCGAGCCGCGCGTCGAGAGCGGCGCGAGCTCGGGCTTCAACGCCGCCGCCGCGTGCTCGCTCGTGGCGGCTGGCGTCGTGGGCGCGGCCGCGAGCCGCCGTCGCTCCTCCGCCAAGGTGGCCAGGCAGGCGGTCGGTGTCGGCATCAACGGCTTCGGGCGCATCGGGCGCCAGGTGGCGCGCATCGTCATGAAGGACCCGGAGACGGAGCTGAAGCTCGTGAACGCGAGCTACGACGCCGAGTACCTCGCCTATCCAGCTGCCTGCGGCGCGTCCGCCCCCGTGCCGGCGAAGCACTCGGCGTGACGATCCTTCGATCGTCGCCCAGAAGGCCGTCGCTCGTGACACCTCTCGTATGGACTACTTGAGGAGCTCAGGGGGCTTCTTTGGGCCGTCCGAGGGCTGTCTTGGGCACCCGAAAGGCAGTCTTGCACGGTTCGTCGGGGCCTTCTTTGGCCGCCTCGGGGCCCTTTAGGGCCGTCGTGGGGCCCTTTGGGGCTGCTTTTGTTGGCCCTCTTGGCCGTCTGGACGGTCTCTTGGGGCGGTCGTGGGGCCGTCTTGGAGCCCTTTTCGGCCCTCTTGAGTCCATCTGGAGTCCCTATTGGGCCAGCATGGGGCTCTATGGGGCCCTGAGGGCCGTCCTGGGCCGTTGGTCTCGCAGTGGGCACTTTGAGACGATCTTCGACCGAAGAGCGAGGCTTGGCATCGCCAGGGAGGCATCCGGCCGCCCAGGAAGCCTCGGGAGGAGGGGCCGGTGCATGAGGACTGCGCTGGGAGAGGGGGAGGGGGCCCTTAGAAGACTTCCAGAAACCCTCGGCTACCAGACAGCACTTGGCATTCTACCACGCCTCATCTCGTCTTCAGCTTCGAGAGAGCCGTGACATGTGAGACGCTCTTCCGCGTCGCGTCAGGGTGTCGTGTTCGTCGTCGTCTTTCTCTCTTCCCCTTCTTCCCTCCTTTCTTGAGTCCTCTTGGGGGCTTCCTGGGGGCCACTCGGTGCCTCTTGGAGGCTACTTGGGACTCCCAACTTAGGACGTCTTAGCGCGCTCTCGGGCGGTCTGGCCTCTTTGGAATCCGTCTTGCGGGCCCCTCTGGGCAGTGTTGAGGTCCTCTTTGGGCCTCGAAGGGTCGTCGTGGGGGTCTTGTGCCGTCTTGGGGCCTCTTTGGGCCACCTTGGGGTCGTCTTGGAGGCCTCATGGGCCATCCTGAGTCTGAGAGTCTTCTTGGAGGCCTCTTGGGCGGTCTTGGGCCGATGGACGCCTGAAAAGGCGAGAACGCGAAAGTCATACAAAAACATTCGGAACGTTATTCGGTTTGACTTTTTCGGGTCCTTGTGGGGCCTAGGAGCTCTCATGTGCCGTATGGGGGCCTCTCGGGCCAGCGTAAGGCCATCTTGGGCCATTTGGGATGCATTTTGTGCCATTTTGGTGGCCTTGGTGTCTTGCCTGGGTCGTCTTGGAAGCCATGTCGGGCCTTCTGCAGACCTTGGGCAACCCCAGGGAGGCGTCGGGGCCGCCTGTGGAGCCTGGGGAGAGGGCGGTGGTGCAAGCGACTGGGCGTGACCTGGAGGGGGGGTCCCTTCGAAGACTGACAGAAGCCCTACCGGACAGCCCTTGGCGTTCTGCCACGCCTCAACGTGCCAGGGGGCGCGGTGGCGGACCAGATGAAGTACGACTCGATCCACGGCAGGTACGACGGCACCATCGAGGTCGACGGGGACTCCTTGGTGATTGATGGCCACAAGGTGGCCCTGTCGCACACCCGCGACCCGGCCGAGATCCCCTTCAAGGAGCACGGGGCGGAGTACGTCTGCGAGTCCACCGGCGTGTTCCTGACCGACGAGAAGATCCAGCCGCACCTCAAGGCGGGCGCGAAGAAGGTTGTGTTCTCGGCCCCGGCCAAGGACGACAGCCACACCATCGTGATGGGCGTGAACCAGGACACCTACAAGAGTGACATGAGTTGCGTCTCGTGCGCATCGTGCACCACCAACGGCCTCGCCCCCATGGTGAAGGCCATCAACGACGCGTTCGGCATCAAGCGGGGCCTGATGACTACTATCCACGCCATGACCGCGTCTCAGCCAACTGTGGACGGCGCGTCGAAGAAGGACTGGCGCGGTGGCCGTGCGGCATCTGGCAACATCATCCCCTCCTCCACTGGGGCGGCCAAGGCGGTGGCCAAGGTCGTGCCGGAGGTGGCGGGCAAGCTCACGGGCATGGCCTTCCGCGTGCCCACGATCGACGTGTCGGTCGTGGACCTCACTTGCGAGCTGGAGAAGGCGACGACCTACGAAGAGATCTGCGCCGAGATCAAGCGGCGCTCCGAGGGCGACATGAAGGGATTCTTGGGCTACTGCGACGAGGCCCTCGTGTCTACGGACTTCGAGACGTGCCCCATCTCCAGCACCTTCGATGCCAAGGCGGGCATCATGCTGGACTCCACGTTCGTGAAGCTCGTGGCCTGGTACGACAACGAGTGGGGCTACTCGTGCCGTGTTGTTGACCTGATCAAGCACATGGCCAAGGTCGACGGAGCATAAGGTGAGCAAGTGTGGCCCCCCCCGCCACTGTGCACTCTCTCTCCCCGACCGATTTTATCGAAGACGCCTACGGCGAATCACCGCCGCCCCCTGCCTTTCTGGAAGCGCCTATGTGGCCGAACGTTGAGGCCAGACCTGCCAAGCTATCGGACCATGTGTTCCCCGAATCGGTTTGGAAAGCCTTCGGGGAACACGTGGGCATCTTGAAGGTCATCTGGGCCGTCTGGAAGCCATTTTGACCCTGTCGGCCTTCTTGGAGGACGTCTTGGAGGGCTCTTGGACCGTCTTGGAGGCTTGGGCCATCTTAGGGCCATCTTCGGCCGTTTTGGTGGGCTCGTGGCCCGTCTGACGCCATCGGAAGCCGTTTTGGGGGCCTCTCTGGGCCGACTTGGGGCCCTCATGGAATGCTCCAGCTCCGTCTTGGAGGCATCTTGGGCGTCTTTAGGCCTCCTGGCCCGT